GAGTTAGGTGGGCCCGAAAACTTGCCCACACAGGAATTGTTTTCATCAGTGCTTAAGCTCCGATTCTGGGGAAGTGTGTGTTTGCTGAGTTAAAGTAGGCACACTGGCCAATCCTGCCTGTGTCACCAGCTTCCAACACTCAACCCACAGAGCTGATGGGTGCTGCTGAGGCCCCCCCTTAGACTCCCGGCTTATCTAAACCGTGTTGACGTGATGAAACCCTAGGAACAAAAGCATAAATATAAGCATAGAATATCATTTTCCCAGGATCAAGCAATACCCTTAGCTTGAGCTAACTACCCCGTAATGAAAAGACGACTCGTCAGCTAAAATCCCAAACCATTCGCAAGTCTCTCTCTGTTCTACCTCCCTGTCTTTTGCTTGTGGGTCAGGGAAAAGCAGTGAACATGACTAGGATTAAGATGCTTGGCACCACAGGAGAGCAAATTCACAGTCCTAAGAGAATTAACAGGCATGCGCAAACACCTCTGCAGCAGCCTGAAGCTGAACATCTTTGTGTTTCAGATTCCACGCATTTGCCGAGAGAACAGACTGTGCAGAATTTCCTGCATTTCCCGCCGAGGATGGCATCTGCAGCAGCCTGAAGCTGAACATCTTTGTGTTTCAGATTCCACGCATTTGCCGAGAGAACCGACTGTGCAGAATCTCCTGCATTTCCCGCCGAGGATGGCGACAGTGCGATTACTGGGAATTCAAGGAAACTGAAAGGAAAACAACCTCCAGGTACCTGGAATCCAAAAGAAGCAGTGCAGTTTGTATCCTTAATGACCTCGGGTGATCCACATAGCTAGGGACGACCTGTGTCTTTTGTATTATTAATGTGGGAACAGGACAGAGTTAATGGATATTAATAAACTTGTCAGGCAACCAGGTATAAGTTGCTACCCAGGGAAACAGCCCAAGTGATATGTGTTTACTAATTTGGGAACCTTCCGGAGACACCCTGGGCATGTCAATGCCGGAGCTCTTGGCACGGCAGAGCCGCGCTACTGCCTGGCTTAGCTGGGAGGCTGCAGTGAGGGGCCTGCAGTTTGTGGGGGTTCTGATGTCCTTCCTGTGTTGAGAGCCCTATTTGTGGGTGCAGCGTGTGGGACTGACTTGCTCCTTGCGAGGATCAGAGGCCTCACAGGAACCTTTTGGAGGCTGAATGAACCTCCCCTTTCATTCTAGGAATGTGATCAGAGAGCTTAACAGGCACAGAGAATGCGGTTATAAAATCAGTGCGAAATAGGGCTGTGATTTGGAAAAACAGGAGTAGAAGGTTACTCAGAAAGCCAGGAGATGGGAGTTTCTTTTGGGCTGATGAAACTGCAAAGAGCCAAGGACACCTAATAAACACCACTGAGTGAAGGAGGGAGGGAAGGTCCTGCTGGATCGTTAGGTGCCATGGCCCAGTGGCTGGACAGACGTCTGAGAAAGCCCACGCCCACCTCCACCCTCCTGCTCATTTTTAGTTATGAAACAGATTTCACGCTTCAATATGAGGCAGGACTACTCTCTGGGGAGAGGGGAGAGGCTGCAGCGTTCAGCTGCTTGGAGAGTCCTCTGTTTACATAATGGTACTGTGAAAGCTCCCAGGAGAAGGGTGCCAGGACTGTAAGCAGGAGGCAGTTGCATTACCAGGCTAGACTGTCAGATGCAGAGAGAGACAGGGGATCAGGTCACAAAGCCTGTTCCTGACACTCTGTAGACTCAAATTCTTAATGCCCCAAAGCACAGCAGGGGAGAGGCTCCAGTAGAGCTCACTGGAGGTACTATTTTAGGTAACTGGCACCTTTATTCTGATCACAAAGTGAACATCTCCAGAGAATTTGAGAAAATACCAATTGATAAGCAAGACTGATGATAATCTAAGAAAAAATTCATTCAGGACATATGCCATGCCTACTGACACTAATTTACAAGATTAAGCTGAGTGGGCAATGATTCAGTCAGGGTAGAGAATATGAAATGTCACCAGCTCCCCAAGGCATGCCAGTTACTGTAAATGGGGTTTGATTTTGGTCTCTGTATTCTTTGGCAAGTTAATTGTAAAGGGAAACCTAAACTGCATAGTGTACAGATTCAGCAGCTACCATCTTCCCAGCCCTGTGAAGCATACAAATTAAATTACAGATGAAAACACTTTTCTTTGAATGAAACGCTCAGTAAGGCTTGTCATTCTAAATCCATTTCAGTGATCACATTTTCTGAATTTAGGGAGAGAGTCCCCAATCCTAAATATGCAATCTCATCTCTTCTATCCATCACAATGTCCCAGAAATGACAACATCTCAAAGCCTACCTTTCCCACTCAAGAACGGCCCAGAAATTTTTGACAGACTATTCTGGTTTGAAAATGTGTGGTTTTCAATGTCACCTGGGACTCACAGGCAGTTCCTTAACCTTTCCCTGATCAGTTCCCTTTCCTCGTTACCATGTACGTGGTGCTGTCTGAAGGCCCCTTCCCCTTTGGGTTTCCGTGAACCTCTGGAGGAGGAGGCCTGCCCTTCCATTCCCATTACCCTCTGGGAGCCTCTGTTTGCCTGCGCTGTGTCTGGTTTCCCCACATTAGTCTGCAAGAAAATTCAGCTCCTCTACCTCCCGCCGTGTCTTCTCATGCTTTTCACTATGCATGACCTTAATAGATGCTACTGACTCTCTGGAGGGTGAGGAAAGATCGACGTACATCCTCCCTGGCTCCTCCCTTCTGCTTCTCTTTTTGCCTTCTCAAGCCTCTCACCATTTCTTTTCAAGAGCAAAACATGCTACTGAGTCTACCCTCCATCCCTAATCACATATATCTTGTATTTGGGGTTCCTTGAGCTTCCTGGACATGTTGGTTTAGCTTTATCCAGTTTGGAAAAATTTCTATCCTTATTTTTTGATCACAGGACTTCAGATCAGCTGCAGTTTGACTAATCTAGGATGGGCTTCTCTGACTCGTGCTATCCAGGGTACATTCTCATCGTGGTGACTAGCATGAGTGAAAGAGCTGAGCCAAGGCAACCGTGCAGCCACATTTGAGGCCCCAGCTCATGTCACATCCACTAACGTTCCATTGGCCAGAGCAAATCACGTGACCAAGTCCAACTTCAGTGGGATGGGGG